GATCTCGGCCACCGAGAGCTGCTCGTGATAAGCCTTCTCAGCAGAGATGACCGGGGCGTAGGTGGCCAGCGGGAAGTGGATGCGGGGGTAGGGCACCAGGTTGGTCTGGAATTCTGTCAGGTCGACGTTCAGGGCTCCGTCAAAGCGCAGCGAGGCCGTGATGGACGACACGATCTGGCTGATGAGGCGGTTCAGGTTGGTGTAGGTGGGACGCTCGATGTCCAGGTTGCGGCGACAGATGTCGTAGATGGCCTCGTTGTCCACCATGAAGGCGCAGTCGGAGTGCTCCAGGGTGGTGTGGGTGGTGAGGATGGAGTTGTAGGGCTCCACCACGGCCGTGGACACCTGCGGGGCCGGGTAGATGGAGAACTCCAGCTTGGACTTCTTGCCGTAGTCGACAGAGAGCCGCTCCATGAGCAGGGAGGTGAAGCCAGAGCCGGTGCCACCGCCAAAGCTGTGGAACACCAGGAAGCCCTGCAGCCCTGTGCACTGGTCAGCCTGCGAGGTGGGAAGGGGAAAACAAGAGCAAACTGTCAGGAATTCTGAACTTCAGCTGCTACTGACTTGCCCTGGAAGGCAAATATTCCTTCCAGGATCTCAGGACCTTCCCACCAGGTCCAGGGAAAGTGATCCCTTCCTGCAGGGATTTGGGGACACTCAGTAGAGACAAGGAGGGACATGTTTATTCCAGGCAGCAGAAGTTGCCCCTCTCCTTGGCCTCATGAGGACATCATTAGGGTGTTCCACCACCACGGCAGGAACCACCAGAGTGGGAGACAAGGTGGCCCTGACCTTACATGTTGGACACTGACTCATGGTGGATACCCCAGCTCTTGGGAGACACCCCAGCAGGATCTGGAAGTCAGCCACAGCTTCACCCCCTCTTTTTCCAAGAGGGTGCAGCAGGAACAGGCTCTTATCCCACAAGAGCCCACGGGCAGCCAGCTCAGCCTTTGATGTGCCAGGAGCTCCCCGAGCGGAGCCGCTGGCGCAGCAGGTCCGGCCACCCCGGCGCCAGATCCAGCGTGGGAACCAGAGGTTCAAAGAGCTTGGGCAGCCACACCAGTCAAACCAGTGCTGCACCAGCACCCAAACCATCTTTCCTGCCCCCCCCTGCCCTGGCCATGGGGCTTCACACCCTCCTCCCCTCGGCAAGGCTTCACACTGGGCTAGGATAGGGCCAGCAGGTCCGTCCTGGAACATCCCCACTCTCTGCCTCAAAGCACTGATGGGCTGAGAAGCACCTGCCCAGGGACACCTGTAGCTTCCCTTTGTCCCCACATACCCCGCAGGGTGAGACCCCACAGGACACTCACCAGCTTGCGGATGCGGTCAAGGACCAGGTCGATGATCTCCTTGCCGATGGTGTAGTGCCCGCGGGCGTAGTTGTTGGCCGCATCCTCCTTGCCCGTGATCAGCTGCTCGGGGTGGAAGAGCTGCCGGTACGTCCCGGTGCGCACCTCGTCTGCGGGGACAGCCCCGGGCCCCGTTAGCAGCCGGCGCCCGCCGCCAGCGCCCGCCCCGCCGGCCGCCCCCCGCGCGCTCACCGATCACCGTGGGCTCCAGGTCCACGAACACGGCCCGGGGCACGTGCTTGCCGGCGCCCGTCTCGCTGAAGAAGGTGTTGAAGGAGTCGTCCCCCCCGCCGATGGTCTTGTCGCTGGGCATCTGCCCGTCGGGCTGGATGCCGTGCTCCAGGCAGTACAGCTCCCAGCAGGCATTGCCGATCTGCACGCCCGCTTGGCCCACGTGGATGGAGATGCACTCGCGCTGCGGGGGCACACGCCACTGGGTCACCTCTTCTGTCCCCTCTCTGTCCCACCCCGGCACGCACCGGGCTGGCACCCAGCTGGGAAGGGTCTCTCCCCAAGGCTGGATGGGGCCAGATCCTGCCCAGATGCACCCACTGTGCTCAGCTGTGGTGGTCCCATCCTGCTCCCCCTCCCCAGGGGCTCAGACCCTGCACCAGTTGGTGCCCTTCACCCTACACACCCCACAGTGCTCAGTTCTGGGGGTCCCATCCTGCCCCTCCCCACTGAGGGACTAAGCCATAACAGGGTGGGCATAACCCCAAACCCTGGTTTTGCCCTGGCTTGCACAGGGCTGACCCAGCATCACCCCAAACTCCAGCTGGAGGCACCCAGGGAGGTGTGGAGGGACCAGAGTGGGGCTGCCAGTGTGCTCAGCCCTGGGGGTACCACAGACACAGCGAGTGCTCAGCTCTGGGGTCCCATCCTGACCCCCACGGAGGGGAAACCCTACACGTGTTGGTGCCATTCATGCTATCAGCACCCAGAATTTGGGTCCTCCAGGGTCATTCCCGGTGCCCACCATTCCCAGTCCCCTCCACCCACGGGTTACACAGGACAGGGACACTTCAGCCCCTTCCCCAGGGGGCTGCTCTTCACTTCGGAGACATCCTTGGACCTCACGGAAAGCGGAGCCGCTCACTTCTCCAGCAGCCCTCGCACAACCCCTGACTGTCCCGGTTCAGCTCCACCCGGGCCAGAGCAAACTCTGGTGACCGGGAGGACTTTCCCCGCGCCAGCCACTCCCGGTTGTGCCCGGGCCACGTTGGGATCTTTACCCCCCCCCGGCCGTGACTCACACCCACGCGTGTCCCGGCCAACAGAACCGGGAGAGGGTGGCACGGGGGGTGCCCCCGGTGCCCCCAAAGCCCCTCTTGGCCTGTTTCTCTCCCGAGGGGTGCTGTGGGGACGGGTTTAGGACCTGCGTGGCCACGTGGGAGCCCAGGACACGCAGTGCCACTCGGCGTGTCCCCACGCATTTAGCAGGGAGCCCGGGGGGGATCGGCACGGAACCAGGGTGGAAGCACCCCGGGCAGCGACCCCCGGCTGGGGGAAGCCCCCGCTTCCGGGAGACACACGCACCCCCACCTCAACTCCTGCCCAGGACCCGCAAGAACCCGGCGGCCCCACAGGGCGTCCTGAACACGCGAGGAGCTCCCAGCCCCTCCAGAGCACGGCCCCATGTGCTGCAGGGGACATGGGGGGTCCCGGCCGCTCAGCCCCCCGCGCTGCTCGGGGGTGTCCCGCACTCCCCGGGGGTCCCACCCGGCGCGGAGCCCCCTCACGACCCCGGCACGCCCCCAGCCTCACCATGGCCGCTCGCTGCCCGAACTGTTACGAAGCCGTCGAGGAGGGAGGCGGGGGTCGCCCCGTAGGGCCCCCGAGTTATACCCCAGGGGCGGGGCTTCAGGGGGGCGGGGACAGGGG